ACCATTAGCACACAACAAAGCACCTAAAGAACACAAACCACGCACCTAAGATTTTAAAATGGCTCACATTAAGTTTCGCACAATTGACGCACCTTAAGCATATAAATCATGCACTTTAAGAATGAAAACAACGCACCTTAAGAAGGAAAATCACACACTTTAAGTTTCAACAAATACTCACATTAAGCACAAAACCCACGCACCTTAAGCACTAAACTAAGGCACCTTAAGCACAAAACCCACTCACCTTATATATATATATATATATATATATATATATATATATATATATATATATATATATGTGTATACATACATACATACATATATATATATATGTGTATACATACATATATATATATATGTATATATATATGTGTATACATACATATATATATATATGTATACATATATATATATATATATATATATATATATATATATATATGTATGTATGTATGTATGTATGTATGTATGTATATATATATATATATATATATATATATATATATATATGTATATATATATATATATATATATATATATATATATATATATGTATGTATATATATATATATATATATATATATATATATATATGTATGTATACATATATATATATATATATATATATATGTATATATATATATATATATATACATACATATATATATATATATATATATATACATATATATATATGTATACATACATATATATATATGTATGTATACATATATATATATGTATGTATATATATATACATATATATATATGTATGTATACATATATATATCTACATATATATATGTATACATATATATATATATATATATATATATATATATATATATATATATATATATAGAATAAAGTTCAAATGCGGCGGGGTCTTCCTCTGCGGCGGTGCGATGGAATTTCAGAATACACCAACAGTGTTAACAATATGCACCAACAGTGTAATAAAAGTACACCACAATAAAATGTAATAAAACATCACAAAATACACAACAGACTCAAAAAAATAAACCATATAACTCACCACCTTCAATGGTGTATTTACAAACAGTGTATGGTGTTTTTACTCACACCTAATGGTGTGTGTTTGGTGATGCAGGGCTCTGTTTACTCTGTTTTGTGTGGTGTATTTTCCTAACGTTGATGGTGCATATTTGTTGAACTATTGGTGTTGCCGCACCGTAAGACACTGCCGCACTTGAACCCGTCTATATATATATATATATATATATATATATATATATATATATATATATATATATATGGGTTGCATTCACATGCAAACTCCCTTAAAATACAAACATGTGGACAAATATGGGTCATTAGATTAGATTAGATTTTAGGGGAAAAAAGCCACTGCACACCAGTAATTAGAGAGCAAAAGGGCAATTCAGACAATTTAATGGTATCCTAATTACGGTAAGATGCATGTAAATTGATCTGATATTTACAACAATTTGACACAAAAATGAGCATGGTTTTGAACATGGATGTAACCATGCATAGTATTATTATGGGTGATGGAACTGAAATGAAATGGTGTTCATTTGGCAGCTAGCATATCAATATATCATATCATATTATATTTTTCTGTATGCATTTTAATTTATTTATTTTGAAAATGCTGCTACAAGAACATGATTGATTAAAGGGAAAAGCAGTCTTGTGAAGTTTATTTTATTTTTTCCCCTTATTTTTCTTTTAATTTTATCTTTGTTTTGCTTTTGCTACGACGATATACCATTTTTTGAATTTCGGATACAGATATGAGTTGGCATATGCTTCCAGAGATATAAATTGTTTATATTATTAATTGAAGCATGAAATTAAATAGGTCGAACTCCAGCAATATAACTTGAACTCGAGTTCGAGCTCAAAAATTGGAACCAATCGAGTCGATCTTCAACTCGAGCTCGTACACTCGATCCAATCGAGTCAAGTTCGACTTGACTCGTTTGCAAGCCTAATATTGCCAACTTTGTTCAAATTAGATCAGATATTTTTTAGATCAAATACATATATTTTGTATTAAATCTACTAATCTACTAATAATATAATAGTATATATAATATAAATATAATAAGAGTCAATGTTGTTAAGGTAATAATGTGAATTGATAACTTGTTATCATCTTTGATTTATTCATTGTACAATAATAAGATATTTTCAAAGTTACCATCTTTCACTTTTTACTTTTTCATTTATGTACAAATTTTAGTAACGGAATATTCTATTAACTATTTTGTTTTAATATGAACTAGTATTTGCACCCGTGCGATGCACGGAATTGAATTGTTGTAATATATTAAGAAGGGAAAATGACACTTTTTTCCCCTGAGTTATATACCTATAGCATTTTTTCCCCCTAAGTTATTGAAGTGGCTGTTTTTCCCCTTGAAATGTTAAATGGACATATTTACCCTTAAATTAAATATTTAATTTATTTTTTTCTCCAACAAATTATGACCATAATTTGGTTCAAACTAAACAAACACTATAGCAACCAAACCGAAATATTCCAATTACAATTTAGAATCGAAATTCGATATTAGAGTTTATTAAAATCGTGAACCGGAACGGACGGTTCATGTTCCGAAAAAAAATAAAATACATTTATTGTTGAATTTAGACTATTTTAAAATAAAAAATAAAATTTTAAAATAAAGACGGTTCAAAACCACGAATCAGATCCGGAACCGCCGGTTCACGGTTCAAGATTCAATTTTTTGATACATAATTTTAATAAATTGACATTTAAATATTGGGTTCTAGATCTGAATTATAACCGTAAACTATTAATTCGATTGCTTTAGTATCCGGTTCAATTCAAATCGAACCGTGGTCATCCCTACGTATACGCAATAATTTGTTGGAGTAGTAAAATAAATAAAATGTTTACTTTAAGGGTATAAATGTCAATTTAATATATCAGGGGGAAAAAAGCACCACTTTTAGAATAATTGAGGGGGCTAATGTGCTTACCTAAATAATTGAGGGAGAAAAGGTGCTATAAGTATATAACTCAGGGGTAAAAAGTGCCATTTTCCCTATTAAGAATATTTAAATCGATAAAGAATTCATTTCACCAGAGGTTGCTTATCTTTCCTGACAATTTCAAATTTAATCCTAGACTATAGTTATTAATTATTACGATTTATTCTATGTTATAATTCTTACGTTAATATTCTTACTATTATTATTAACACTTAATTACTTTTAAATATTATTTTTACCACTTATATTATTATTATATTATTATTATTATTATTAGTTTCTTTTCAAGTTTTGTTAGTATATGATGGCTGTGAGGCACACAATAATAATATAACCATAATTAAATATTCTTGTATTGTATTCCGTGAGTCACAATAATAATATAACAATAATTAAATATTCTTCAATTCTAATATTCTTCTAGGATTTCTATTACCATCATAAATTATTTCCTAATTTACCATAATTAAATAATTTGACCAATTATAAAGAGAGATTATCAAATAACGCACGGGATAATTTTTTAATTAAAAATTTTAAAAATCCATTAATAAAACATAAGGTTCTCATAGTTTTTTCTTAGAAACTATTTAATAAAGCATTTTTTAAAGAAATTGGTGAGCCAAACCGCCTACGGTAGTTTGCGGTGGATAGATCTCGAAAAAATACGCGATTTCAAAAAAACATTTGGATGGGAAGTTAAAATTCCAGGATTTTGTTATTATATATAGTATAGATGTACAAAGGGAATTGTATTACACTATTTTAAAATTTTAGAATAGAATTTTTACCCAGAATTATTGTATGAATGGGAAAGTAGACATCAATATATTTTATTGAAAAGAGAGATTTTTTAGGAATTGGGAGAGAAGTTAAAATTCCAGGATTTTGTTATTATATATAGTATAGATGTACAAAGGGAATTGTATTACACTATTTTAAAATTTTAGAATATAATTTTTACCCATAATTATTGTACGAGAATGGGAAAGTAGAAATCAATATAATTTATTGGGAAGAGAGATTTTTTAGGAATTGGGCCGGAAGTTAAAATTCCAGGATTTTGTTATTATATATACTCCGTAGTATAGAAGTATAGATGTACAAAGTGAATTGTATTACGCTACTTTAAAATTTTAGAATAGAATTTTTACGTAGAATTATTGTATGAATCGGAAAGTAGAAATCAATATATTTTATTGGGAAGAGAGATTTTTTAGGAATTGGGAGGGAAGTTAACATTCCAAGATTTTGTTATTATATATAGTATAGATAGATGTACAAAGGGAACTGTATTACACTATTTTAAAATTTTTGAATATAATTTTTACCCATAATTATTGTACGAATGGGAAAGTAGAAATCAATATATATTTTTGGGAAGAGAGATTTTTTAGGAATTGGGCGGGAAGTTAAAATTCCAGGATTTTGTTATTATATATAGTATATAGATAGATGTACAAAGGGATCTGTATTATACTATTTTAAAATTTTAAAATATAATTTTTACCCATAATTATTGTACGAATGGGAAAGTAGAAATCAATATATTTTATTGGGAAGAAAGATTTTTTAGGAATTGGACGGGAAGTTGTATTTTGTTATATTTTATTAGGAAGAGAGATTTTTTAGGAATTGGACGGGAAGTTAAAATTCAAGTATTTTGTTATTATATATAGTATAGATATTGTTTGGACATTATTTTTATTCTCGATTATAACTATTTACAACAATACTCATATTTACTACTACTACTACTCCAAGTTGAAAATACTCATTTTGATTATATTGAAAATAATTATTTTTATTTTATATTAATTATTTAATATTTAAAAATTGTACTAAGTTATTCACTTATTTTAATTTTTTGTTTTTGACATTAATTTAATGGTACAATGAGCGCTTATTATAACTAGTTAATAATAATAATTGAAAATATTTAGGTCACAATTAGCTCTCTAATAAAGTAGTGCAGGGACAATGCGACATATTTTAACCCTTTTGTGTGGGACTTGGACTTCTTTGTATCCTAATTAAGCTCGCAGTCTTTGTTATAGGATTTGATTGTCGGCTATAGTTTGCTCTGTGTTCAGGTTTCCCGGGTAGCGACTGTTTCTCCCTCTCCTGTTCGCAGCGTTTTCCTCTGACCTGATCTGCCGATCCCCGGTTACATTCTCTGTTCCAGGTTAACCTCTAATCAATCTTACACTCCAATTCACTTTAAGATCTAGAGAAATTTTCCGGTTACATGATCAATATAGTGAAGATTTCAGATTTATTGATAAACAAATGGTTCTGGATCTCATGAATTCTTTAATTTTATTATTTATTTTAGAAAAAAAGTTTGTGTTTCGTTGTGCATCTGAATTTGTGGGAAATTGCAGTAATTTATACTGTGCTTGGGTAAATTGAAGTTTATTGTTGATTTAATTGGTGTTGCTATGAAGATTTAGCCCGTCCTTATGAGGAATTAAGGCTTTTTGCTAAGAATTTTTTGCATTTTGTGTCTTTGACTTGCATGAAATGCACATATATGGATTGTGAACTTAAGTGGGTTTTGCAGTGTCATATGACACTGTGCCTAACTCTACTTAAAGGAAAAAGTAATGCTGGGCATAGTTGTACAGGGGGATTTAACAATTCTGAGCAAGGAGTTTACTATGAATTTAATTGTTTGCAAAAGGTTATGAACTTTTTTTGGTTCTTACACAACCAGGTAATATTAGTGAGTTTTGTACCATATTTTTATAAATTGAACAGTAGATGTATGAGTTTTAAAGTTCAGCCTGCTCCCTCTTTTTTGTGGTTTTTCTTTTCTTTTTGTGTCAGTATATAATTTGTGCCTAATTGGATTATAGAGAAATTTTCTTTTAAGCATTACTACTCCTTGGTTGAGCTTTTATTGTAAAATGTGTGATGCATCAATGCATATTTATTCTTCCACCAGGAGGAAGCTGGTACTATTGTCAGATATTTTAAAATTTTAGTTAGTGTTTTGATCCTGTTCCATTTCAAAATATTTATGTGTCCAAGATGCAGCATTTTCCTTCTAAAATGTGTGGTTTTCTCAGTTATGTTTTCTAAGTAGCTAGTAAATAAGTTGATTGAATCCATTGCCAATTGGTGCTACAAAGTTGGTGTAATTTTCTGATATTATTCATTACTCAGTATTAGGCTTATTTTGATGTAAAAGCAACATTTTAATATTAGTAAGGTAATAATGTGAGTCTTGTTATTTATCAAAATTGCCATATATATAATGATATAGTTTGGATTTTATATGGCAGGGTGATCATACATTCATACGTAGTAGTGACAAGGAAGGAAAGATGCCTGCACAGAAAATTGAAACAGGGCACAGTGACACAGTTCACGATGTGTCTATGGATTACTATGGAAAACGTGTGGCGACAGCTTCATCTGATGCCTCCATCAAGATAATTGGTGTGAGCAACAACTCTACTTCACAGCACCTTGCTACTCTGGCCGGTCATCATGGTCCAGTTTGGCAGGTTTCATGGGCACACCCTAAATTTGGTTCACTACTGGCTTCCTGTTCATTTGATGGTAAAGTCATTGTTTGGAAGGAAGGGAATCAAAATGAGTGGACACAAGCTCATGTTTTCAATGATCACAAATCTTCAGTTAATTCTATTTCGTGGGCTCCTCATGAACTTGGGCTTTGCTTGGCATGTGGATCATCTGATGGGAACATCTCTGTTTACACCGCGAGGTCAGATGGTGGTTGGGACACTGCAAGAATAGACCAGGCCCATCCTATTGGAGTAACTGCAGTTTCATGGGCACCTTCAATGGCTCCCGGTGCTTTAGTTGGTTCTGGTTTACATGACCCTGTTCAGAAGCTTGCATCAGCTGGGTGTGATAACACTGTGAAGGTGTGGAAGCTTTATAATGGTGTTTGGAAGATGGATTGCTTCCCTGCCCTTCAGATGCACACTAACTGGGTGAGGGATGTTGCGTGGGCACCCAATTTGGGGCTTCCAAAATCAACAATTGCAAGTGCTTCAGAGGATGGTAAAGTTGTGATATGGACTGTGGCAAAAGAAGGAGATCAGTGGGAAGGAAAGGTTTTGTATGACTTTAACACACCCGTTTGGAGGGTCTCATGGTCTTTGACTGGAAACCTGTTAGCCGTAGCTTCTGGGGACAACAATGTCACACTATGGAATGAAGCAGTTGACGGGGAGTGGCAACAGGTCACAACTGTTGACCAATAGACTTCCAGTTAGTCTATATCTCTATCCAAGACATCTTTTGCCGACTTCTCCTTTTCTTTGGCTTATAACAATCCCTTCATTTTTACGACTCTTCATACTGTTTTCCTTCAACTTATATTTTGCCATGCCGTATTTCCGTTATCATATTTCAGGTCAAATACACTCTTTGAAGTTAACATTCTTGTGACTAGGCAGGCCCCTGGACTCTTTTTATTTTGAGTTATTAATTGCAGTATATGTGGTTGTGAGAGATATCTCTTCTGCTCTTTTTTTTCCTCACTTGTATACTGATCCAAAGCTGACTGTTGATAATTCTCTGAGTTTTTATTATTGAATATTCATAGGATTTTAACACAGGAGTATTGGAAGATCAAAGTTAGAGGTTAGCAATCCAAGGCCACAGTGCTAGTTTGCACCTGAGTAACAGGAAAGGTTTTGTTTTTTTTTTTTTTTTTAATGTTGTTCACATTGCCCTATTACTTGCTACCTACAAGCTTGTGGATTGGAGGGCTACGATGCTACATATACATGTCCTTGGATCGTAGATCTATGTGCACTTTGTATGTTTTTTACTTTGAGTTGAGCTTGTGTAGTTGTGTTAGGTACAGGGTATGACCTTCAATGTGTAAAGCGTGATCCCAAGTTCCATACTTCTTACATAATGCATTGTTCATAAATTATATATAGAGTTAATACCAATTGCCACTTGTAGTCCTAGACTTTCGTAATACCATTCATGGTCCTCCGAATTTAGAAATTGACCTGCGGTTGTTCTCTAGTTACTTTCTTTCGTCTACGCCGTCTAAAGTAGGGATAGAATAGTAATTTGCCTTAAAACAAAACATTCTGAAATTAAAAATCACAAATTAGCGTATGAAATGTAAAAATCCTAGACTCGTTGCCCCTCTCCAAAGGTGACGCGGGACACCGCAGCTCTCCTCGGAAGCCCATGTCGATCTCCATCCTGACGAGCCCCTGTTTGAGAATGACCGCGATTGGCCTCACGATTGGACTGGATTAGTGAAGAGAGAAATTGCAACGACGCCGGTGGTTGATCGCTAGTCTCCACTCGTGTAATCGCTGAGGGGAGAATCGAGAATCCAGCGCTACGCAATTCTTCAAGGTAGTGTCGAACGATGTTTTCGTCAGTTTCTGGAGGCTCTGGGGGAGGGTCACCTATCACCATGATCGTCTCGGGAAGGCGGAGACGACCACCAGTTCAGGATGTCGATAAACTGGCTGCCAACGCCGGAAAAGAAATCGAAGATGGATTGGGAAAAATCGCTGATTGTTGCCAGAGAGGAAAGAGTAGAGTTCCATTTATGGGCACTTCGTTGGTTGCAATCATATTACTAGGAGCCTAAAAAAGTGTCATTCAGAGCAGTCAACCCACCAAACTTCATAAGGAAATAAGGGACAGATTAAATGAATTGGCTTATTGTTTGAAAGAAAAACAGACTACCATATATCTTTCACTCCATATGTGTATGCTGTCATTGTCCATTTCTCTGACCCTCACTGTCGGCCACCATCATCGGAAAGCCGTCGTCGCAGGGTGTTGCTCCGGCACAACTATGTTGCTACGTTCGTCTATGAAACAGAGGTCGTCGGTGAGCCGTCACCGGAGTGTGTCTCTTTCTTCGCCATAGTAGTTGTGGCCGCCTTCACTACATTCGTCAACAAAGGAGACCGCTCCAAAATTGCTCAGTCCACAATTAGAGTATGTGTCGTCGCTTTCCCATGTTTACTTTGCGTGTGAACATGTCCATAAACATATATGTTTTTGTTTGCTTTGCCGTGTCGTCAGCTGTGGGTGTATATATTCTATCCCTACTTTAGACGGCAACAGGTTAAATTTTGAAACTCAGATGACCACGGATGATATTATGAAAGTTTAGAACTATATGTGACAAAACTATCAAACTCGAGGGACGTTGGCCGGTATTTACTCATCCTATCATATATCCTATCCTATCATATCCTATCCTATATATAATAAAGCCAAATCCAAGACCACAAATTTTCCGTTGGCAAATTATTGTATGACCATGGTCCACACAATGTTATGTGGACCATAACAAAAAGTACATTTTTAATATAATAAATATACATTATTTTTGTACTGAATGTACATTATACAATATAATATACACCTAGAACAAAAATAATGTACATCTCCTAAATATAATGTACATTATTTTTATACTGAATGTACATTATTTTTGTACTGAATGTACATTATTTTACAGTAGACAAAATATGGTCCACACAACTTGTGTGGATCATGGTTCATACAATAATGATTGCCCCAAAAGTGTGAATAGGTTTAGAGTAAATAGGCTGCAACAATAAGATAGGTTTGGCCCAGAAATTTTTTTTAAAAAAAATGTAATTATATATTGGCCACATATTTGTTATATTAAAACTTTTAATTTTTATAAATTCATGTAACCATGAATTAATTTCTATGAATATTATATATCAATTCTTATTTTAATTACAAGTATTTATATTAATAATTACAAATCAAATCAACATAATTATTAAACTAAAAATTATGTATATATATACTGGTAATACAATGAGTCCATCCTATTATATATCTACATCTACAAATCTAATAAGAGCGAATAATGTTAGGCCCTTAACTGGAACAAAAAAAAAATGTCGGTACTAATTGTTTCTTAAAATGAATAGTTCATATTATTTTGATTTTAGTATCTTTTAATGATTTTCCTTGTTTACCCTCTATTATATTCTTTTCTTCCCTTAAATAACCATAAATTCCGTTAGTTTAAACTTTAGTAACAGAATATTCGGTTAACTATTTATTATTCTTAACATACTCTTAATTTATATAAGGTCTTAGGTTCGAACATCATCCCAAGTATAGTTGGTATAATTGTTAAACATATATTATGAATATGTTAAAATGTATTAGAAATATATATAATATAAAATTTAACATAAACTTTGGTCAAATAATTAGTTCGACTAAATACATAGCATTCAAAGTTGAGCATCAAAGATTATAAATCAGGAACTACTTTAAAATCATTTGATTTTCTTGAATTTTTTATTTAAAAAAAAAACAAACAATTTAGGTTAAGTTTTTTGTTTTGTTTGTTTAATTAATCTTATTTTGATTTTTTAGAACAAAACTTAATATTTCAATTATGCTTTTACATTATTGGAATGATTTAGGCCATTATGGTATTAATATTTTTTGTATTTTTTTTTATAATGGTACAATTGTACATTACTTTACAAATATTATACTATTTTTTTTTTATCGGACAAAATTATTCTTACATCATTGTCAGACCTGCGCGGCCTAACTACAAAGTTATTGATTATAAATACAATTACACATGGACTCTAAAATGGTAGGATCATTTTCTAAATAATTGACAATGTTAACATCTTACTAGCTCCAATTGAACAAGTTTACACATCAAAATTTTATCGATGCATGAAAACTTCTAAAGAAATTTGTAAGTTAATTTTTACTATATCATTATATTAATATCTACTGTAACTATATATTTTGAATTATTTATTATCATCCTCTAACAGCAATTGTAGCAATTGTCATGGACAAACTCTCAAAACAATTTGTCTTAGCAAGGAATGGAAATTAAAAAAAAAAATCATTGATTTCTTTATTGTTGAAGAAAAGTATGTATGACACTTTATTACTCTTATTAATTAAATAAATCAGTAGCTACAACAAAAAATAATACATATGCATTTAATTAATTTAGAATTAAATGTATATAATGCTTTATTTAAAAAAAAAAATTATTCATTACAAAAAAATTTAAAAGAAATATAATTTCATTAGTTATATTATCTTTATTTTCTACAATTCAAAGATTCCTTACCTTCAAATCTATTAATTTATTATATTCACTACATTGTTCATTGTCTTCTTTTTTACATTATTTTTTAATTAAATATCAAATTTATAATACAAATCATGTTATATATATATATATATATATATATATATATATATATATATATATATATATATATATATATATATATTTACCAAGTATTTTATACAAATACAATAAATTAGGGGTGTGCATCGGGCGGGTCGGGAGGGTTCGGGTTGCGGGAATGGGGATCCGTTCGGTTCTCGGATTACCACTATTGAATCCTATCCGTGTAATTTCTAAGTCTAAACTTTTCGGATATGCAAATATCGGATATCGGACGGATTGCCTCGGATTACGGATAAATCGGATATGAAATAAAAATTAATAAAAACAACTAATTAACTACTGAATGAGTAAATCAACACTAAATAAGTTGTAACTTGTTAACTTCTAAGTAGTTAACAAGTTACAACTTCAAAATTACAAGTTCACAAATCACAAGTACAAAGTAACTTGTTACAAGTTAATGAAGCTAACAACTTTACAGCTTACTACTTACAAGTTACAATTCAAAAAGAGTTTATAGATTCAATTTCTCAAAAATAAAGCTGTTAAGTGTTAAGGCACCATTCAAAAACCAAATGCAGCAACATCCAACAGCAATCACTCCAACCAGCAACTCAGGCAGCATCAGCATTCCTCATCTTCCTGCTTAAGTTGCAAATTTAAATAGCAAATAACAAAAACAAAAAAATGAAAAGAATCACAGTTTAATATTATTTGCTAAAAAATCCAAAATAGGCTCAGATTGCTGTTGTTTCATATCATTAAGATTTGAGGGAAATTGTTTCTAAAGTTTTGGAACTAAATCCAAAACTTGAGCAACATACCAACCCCAAGTCCTTTGATTCAGACAAAGGTGGAAGCATCATCATAGCCCATACTACACATACCTGTAACCTGCTGTTCAAATGTTCAATCAAGTGGAACTGTGGATAGGGGCTGAGGCACTAAAATGCAATTACATAATTGAATTCATAAGCCATAAATAAAAACAGAATGGTAATCTAATTTTCTAAGAGAACAGAATAAGTGAATAACAACTAAATATAAAGCTGAGAGCAGAATGAATGAACATTACTACAATGGTTGGTAGGGAAGTTCCAGCAGTCCTAATTCCAGTTGGCAACTCTGCAAAAAAAAAAACACATTAACTATCATACAAATAATGAAATAAATACACAATAATGAAAGTATTTAAGTAAACTACTATTACCTTTCTCAAGCCTTTCACAATCATCAATATTTTCTTCAATTTGAATAGGTTGATTTGGTAATCTCAACCAATCCTGTGTACAAATTAAAGCTTCCACAATCTTAGGAGTTAAGGAACTCCTAAATGGATCTAACACTCTACCACTGGTTGAAAAAGCACTTTCAGAAGCCACAGTGGATATTGGAACTGCAAGAATATCCCTTGCCATTTTAGAGAGAATTGGCAGTCTTTCAGAGTTCACCTTCCACCATTTGAGGATATCAAAATCAACCTTATCTTCCACAATGGCCTCACTCAAATATATTTGCAGGTCAGTTTGTTTTAGGCTTCCACCACTCTCCATCCTTTGCCTTTTCAATTGAGATTTCAGCTTACCTTGTGGCCTACCAACAGTTACAGCACTAGGCTGCACACTCACAGAGACAGTTTGAGAAGGTTGGCCAACAGCAGCTGGTTCAGGGTTCACATCCACAGAGTAAGTGGCAGCATAATCATTGTACAGCTCAAGAAGTGCAGATTGGATCTTCTCAAAACAGGATTTCCCTTTTTCATCACCATATAGTTGAGTTAACTGGGCAGGCATGTACTCAACCTTATCTCTAGGATCCAAAATAGTGCCAAAGAAGATCACAAAGTTCATTTTTTCAGGGTCCCCCCAATATTTCAAAAACTTAGTTTTCATTTGGGTGCCCATTACCTGTAAATAAACAAATAAATAACATTAGTTAATAATTTAATATACACATTTTGTTAAACAGTAAACATTTTATTTAAGGGATGTAATTTACCTTCTCAGGACCAGCTTCATCACAAGTCATGTCATCTAGCATGCAACTAAGATCAGAGATCTCACTGAAGAAAGTGTTAGATGTAACGTATAGAGAACCAGAAATTCTCACAGTCATGTCATAGAAAGTTTTTAGCAGAGTTACCAAACTTTTCACATTAAACCAATCCATAAAAGTAGGCACAGAGGTACCCAGATCATCAGAAAATGAGGGATCATTTCCCAGATAGGCATCAAAGACTGCCTGGTACTGGATTGCAGTGTTCAACATCATATATGTGCTATTCCATCTTGTAGGAACATCCAACTACAAAGCTGGTTTGGCTTCCACCCCAATAAGTTCAGCAAGATCTCTAAATTTTTTTAGCCTTGCAGGGGAGTTCCTAACCCATCTAACTGCTTCCCTAACCCTCTTAACTGAAGAATCAGCAAACTTCAACCCATCTTGCACCACCAGATTCAGAATGTGGGCTATACACCTCATGTGCATGTACTTAGACCTTACAGAAGTGGTACCCCAAGACATCAACTTACTCTTAAAAAATCCCATGGCAGTATCATTGGAAGAGGCATTGTCAACTGTGACAGTAAAAACATTCTTAATACCCCACTCAACCAGACAAGTCTCCAAGGTCTTGGCTATATACTCTCCCCTATGAGATGAAACAGGGACAAAGGCTATGATTTTTTTGTTCAGCTTCCACTGATCATCAATGAAATGTGCAGTAATACACATGCAGTTTATCCTCTGTACAAAGGTCCATGTGTCAGTGGTTAATCTGACTCTTTGGGAGCAACCCTTAAAGATTTGTTTAAGGACTGATCTCTCATCTAGGTATCTTTGGAAAATATCCCTTGAAACTGTCCACCTAGAAGGAATTTGGAACCTTGGGCAGGCAACTAGAATAAATCTCCTAAACCCTATCCCATCAGCAAACCTAAAAGGCAACTCATCTATTATAATCATCTCACACAAAGCCCTCCTAATGACTTCCTGATTAAACACCCATGTGCCTAATTCCCCTATTACCCCTTCAGAACCCCCTGGTGCAGAGGATAAGACAGCATTGAAAGTCAGAAGTGACTACCTTGTATCCTTCGAGTGAGGATTTTTAAGACAGGCCTTCATATGATTTCTTAAAGATGAAGTGCCATGTTTTTTTGGCTCAGCACAAAAGATCTTAGCACAATAATTGCACCTCCCCTCAATCACATTATCCTCTTCATCATATATCTTTACAAAGTGCTCCCACACCCTGGATCTGGACTCAACCTCTTTTCTCTTTTTCTTTGGAACTACAGGAGTCACCTGAGGCTGCTGAGGTATCTCAGTGCCTTGGGGTTGTCCTTGTCCCTCTTGAGTTGAAGGTTGGGGTCCAGAACTAGGTTGACTGATGCTCTCCATCTAAAAAGATGGGCATCAACATTCAGATTTCAAACAATTGTTTGTCATACAGATTAACAGACCAAGCATTCAAGCATTGAAAGAAATCCAGATTCAGACACTTCTTTGTGTCATCATCTATCCAGATTTCATATATAACTATATAATATTACATTTACATATTTACATTATACACAAACAGTTAAGAACATTTAAGGGTCATACATCCATAAACATATTCACAAAGAAATCCAGATTCAAGAACTTTATCCAGTTCATCATTATCTGGATTTCAGTTAAGGGCTTCCACCATTTCACATTTAAGCCTTTAACTTTTTAAGGGACATCACAATTCAGATTTCAGAATAGATCACATAACATTGATAACAATATAACATCAGTACATCACAAAACATCGGATAATCAATTAATCACAACACTTTTCAGTTAAGGGCTTCCACCATCAGAAGATTCAAAACATCATATAATCAGAATATATCACAACTCACAGTTTAGGGCTTCCACCATTCAAATATAACATATTATGATATTCATAATACAACACAAACAAATCAACATTCAATTAGCCACTTACTAATCATACAAATCATACATTAAAAAACTAGGGTTTGCGATTACAACAGCTTCCACAAAAAAAAATATAACATATTCACAATACAACACAAACAACTCAACATGCAGTGAATAAAATCAACAAATCATAAATATAAAAACTAGGGTTTCAGCTTTACTTGATTTCCCCTGAATATTCCCCGGAGAACAAGGGTCTCTACTCTGTAATCACCAAGAGAAGGGCTTCCACCACCGTCCACTGGAGTACTGGACAATCGGACTATCGTAGTCTCAGAGATGTCTGAGATTCGAGAGATTCAGACTTTAGAACTAGGGTTCTAAAGTAACAGAGACTCAGAGAGAGACTATCGGAGAACAAGAGAGGAGAAGAGATCAAACTCTGAGTTAGAGTCTCATAAACAGAGAGAATCAGAGAACTAAGAAGTAAGAAGTGAGAAGATCAGACCAGAGAACTCAGAGTCTCAGAGAAGAGACGAAGAGAAGAGAGTAGAGAAGCTGAGGTCTCAGGTCTATGGTGTGGAATTTATTCTGGATTTAGGGTATGTCCTAAGCCCTGGATTTTAATTGATTTTATGTTCATAGTGCCCTAAGCTCAATTTATTCTGTGAATTTGTTGAAAGCCCTGATTTTTTTTTCTGTGATGTGGAATTTATTCTGGGTTTAGGAATATGCTATAAGCCCCCAATTTTTATTTTATGTTCATAATGCCCTAAACCCCTATTTATTATGTGAATTTGTTAAAAGCGTTAAATTTTATTTTTGTGATGTTGAATTTATTTTGGATTTAAGGTATGCCCTAAGCCCCTAACTTTGATGTTATGGTCATAATATGTAATTCATTAAAATCTGAATATGTTGGAAGCCCTAAGCTAATTTTGATTTCATGAGCCCTAAATGATGAACTTAGGAAGTTTTTATTAGGACTCTATGTATTTGAGTCACATTATGACTACCTATCATAGTCTCCCTATGATTGCACTTGTATATATTTCCCCTACAGTTGTATGACAATTCATTCAATACAGTTTTATACAGTTCTCATCTTATATCTGTTAGCTAGGGTTCAAAAAATACCATGCGGACGACATGTACGTTCACATCCAAAATTTTCAATTTCCGGTCGCATTACTAAAACCTTATAGAATTTCTTGCCTGAGTGGGGTGTCAAAAATATGTTCACTGTCACTGTTGACAACACATCTAGTAATGACACTATTTTGGGATTCTTCAAAAAGAAATTGATGTCTTGGGGGTATCTTTCGTTAAATGCAACTATGTACACATGAGATGCATTACACATATCTTAAATTTAGTTGTGCAAGATGGGTTAAAGAAAGCTGATAGTTTTGTTAAGAAGGTTAATGAAGCAACTAGGGGTATGTGAGAAACTCACCTTCTAGGATTAAGAAATTCAGAGATATTTCTGAATTGATAGTGGTGGAAGCCAAATATTCTTTGAGTCTAGATGTGTCAACCAAATGGAATTCAACCTACTTGATGCTTAAAACTACACTCACTTATCTATCAAAAGATTTTTGAAACCTATAAAAAAAATGATAGCTCATTCAGTTCTGATTTAGATGAAAATGTTCCCAATTTTCTTGATTGGCATTATGTGGAAAGCTTGGTGAGCATGTTGAAATGTTTTTATGAAATGACTGTGAAGATTTCTGATTCTTTGTATGTAACTATCAATAACTTCTTCTCTAAAATATTTGATTTGTAATGCATTCTTTCTGATATGGATGAAGCTCAATCTACATCTGTTAAGTTGGTGGGGGCCAATATGAAAGTAAATTTTGAGAAATATTGGGATGACCTTGATAAGATGAACTTTATAATCTTTTATGCCAACATATTGGATCCAGGGATAAATTTGAGTTAATATCATACCAGTTCACACAATTATTTGATGATGAAAAAGGAAAATCATGTTTTCATAATGTTAAGACTAGTTTGAATTTTTTGTTTGATGACTATGTGTCCAATAGCTATTGTTGTGCAAATAACTGTAGTCTAAATCTACCTCAATTGGGAGGCCACAATCAAGATTAAAGACTCAATTGGAAAGCTACGGTTAGAGAGTAGGAGAAGTGGGAAGCAAAAAAATAGTTATTACAAATTTATTTGAGTGAGTTAAATGAGGAGGATGAGATCAGAATGGATTTGATATTTTAAAATTGTGGAAGCTAAATAGTCAAAGGTTTCCTATCCTTTCCCAATTGGCTAGGAATGTGGTTGTTGTTTCTATCTCTATTATGGCCTTTGAATATGCATTTAGTACAAGTGGCAAAGTTTTAGATGCATTTATGAGTGCTTAATTGTTCTATTTTTCTTGTGCATTAAATTGGTCATTTTTAGCTCAGTATTGCTTTAATTGTGTTTAAAGTGGCCAATTATTGGATAAAGTATGTGGGAGGAGCTAATTGAGAGCAATATTGTGTTTTGAAGGTAAAATGAGACAATTTCAATGGCAAATTAGAGAAAAAGGAACAAAATATGATGGGAGCCAAAACGAACCGTCACGCAAGAGTGTCATGCGCATAACGCAGCTTGTGAGAATCAATCGCTTGAGCCTAGATTAGGTTGTCACTTCCTAATCACACTAGTACAAAAAACATCAATAAAATCGAATAATACGCGTCCAAAGTTTACACTTCAAACGTGTAATGTGGGAGGCGGTGGCGTTTTTGAAATTAAAATGCCACTAGTTAATTAATTTTATTATTTATTTTTTTAATATAAAACAATGGGTGTCCAAAGTTGAAGAACTTTGGACACGCATTGTTATGCTGCTGAATTAACAAACACAATAAGTGTCCAAAGTAGTCAACTTTGGACGCTTATAGTTGGCCCGTAAAGATAATAGGCGTCCAAAGTGGAGCGTTATGCTGTGCATCCGTATGCACCATGCATGGTGCATACAGATGCAAAAATGACGTCGTTTTATTAAAAACACGCATCCCACTTTTAAAAAAAAATTCAGGTACGATTCCCCTCAACAGCATTATCGTTTATCGTTTTGGTATCCCTCTCCAGGTAATCACAGACAATGGTCGTCAGTTCGAGGCACGAGAATTTTCAGAATTCTTAGCAGGATGGGGCGTTAAGCACAGCCGGGTGGCGGTATCTCATCCTCAGGAAAACGGGCAAGTGGAGAATGCGAACAGAACCATCCTCGACGGCCTCAAGAAAAAGCTAGAAGTAGCCGGCGGAGCCTGGGTGGAGGAACTCGACGGCATCCTCTGGGCCTACCGCACGACACCAAGAAGGGCCACCGGAGAGACCCCGTT